GCCGGACCTCCAGGATATAATGGTACCAAGGGCCCTGCAGGACCATTTGGACTACCTGGCGTTCAGGGCCTTCGTGGACCATCTGGGTATAATGGTACTCAGGGCCCACCTGGACCCGGGGCCAGTTCCTGTGTTTTTAAGACTTTATTGAGCCCTGGCATGGCAGCATCCTCGATCACCCGACAAGAAATTACAGCGACGGAACCAAACGTAAGTTGATTTTAATATCGAAAAAGTTGTTTTATTCTGAAAAAAAAAACAGAGATAAAACAAAACAAAACAAAATAACAAAAGACAAATCTCCTATTGAAAATTACTTTACAATATATTAACACTCTTAAGACTAGATTTACCGGTCCAAGGAGTTGTCCAAAGTCGTTAAGCTTTACTTAGATTCAGAAATTTCATTTTTCATTTTCAGCCATAGGCCGCATTTATTTTGAGAATCAAAGCTAATTTCCTCTCTTTGAGTCTTAAATCTCCATCATCATACATTAAAAGAAACGTAGAGTTAAAAAAAAAAAGAGAGAGAATAAATTTAACAGCCTCTTACGAACAAGTTCATTTTGTCGCTAAATGTAAGATTTCTTTTGGACAATTACATACCTTTCAGGATATCTATATGATCATTTCGAATTCTATAATTCCACAAGGAGCGATGATCTCCCCTTAAAAAAGGTAAATTTTCATTATTGCGTTCCAAGATGTGAAGGATGCATTTATGATAACATGATTTGGGAACGGAAAATTTGCAAAAGGGATTACCCGGATTGTAGCCGTCGGCTTTCTTCACGTCAAGAGTTCACTCATTGAAATGAGTGTAAACTGGCCTATTTACAAAGAGGAAATAACTGTTTTGGTCTTCTACATTTCGAACTCTTAAAAGTAATTTATCACTAGTATCTTTTTCTTTTCCGGCCAGGGTAAGATCTTTATCGGCGTAAACTGTGGTACAAATGATGCAAAACTTGCTAAATTATCAAGCATCATCTCAGGTGGAAAGAGAACCTACAAGTGCAATTGCGAAGGTACCCTAACAACTGGAGAATCAACGATGTATTGCTACATGCACTACTGGGAGTGCCAGTCATAAGAAGGAAAACGGAAAGCCGTTTGATGAACAGGAGTTTTTGTAAAGAGCATAACAGAGTGTTGAATCAGAAACGAGACGAAGAACAATTTTTTTACCTTTTTAACATGTGCTATTTTTCAAATATGCCCAGTAGATGCCAAATTAATAATTACAGAGAAAGATGAATAGAAAAGCGACGTCAAAAATAAATGAGTCAAATCCTAGAAAAAAGTGTGTTTTTTTTGTTTGTTGGTTGGTTGGTTGGTTTTTGTTTTTGTTTTTGTTTTTTTCAGTTTTTCGGAGCAATAGTCTGTAAGTTTCGAACTTAAAAAAAAAAAAACGGCCACTTAACCTTGCTGATGTGGCTGAGATTCGGCATGAAGGCTAATTTTAGGGTCTTAACCACGAAATGGGTATTAAAAAGTTCCAGTTGTTTTTGCTTGGCAAAAAATC